CTGTACACCACGTCCCCCCCCCCCAAGATAAATTAATTACATTACCTCGTGGCAAAAATATAATTAAACTGTACAGGCCTTAACAAACGCCTGCTCTTCACGCCCCCTCATTCCGCTTAAATTAATTGAAAGGAAATGTGTGTTATTACTGTTAATTTACGATTAATTTCTTTCTTTCTTTCTTTCTTTCTTTTTTTTTTTTAATCCGGTTTCCAGGCTAAAGGAATATCATCGTCTCCAGAGCAAGGTCACCGCAAAGCAGAGTGAATAGCAATCAGTCGCGTGTGGGCCTCCCGCTCCCCTTTCTAATTTCTCGAAGAACTAGCACTAATTGTGGTGGTAATTTGTAATGGTAACTCGTCTCCCAGAGTCCGCGCAGAGGTGATGGCTTTGTTACGGGGCGGCGGCGAGTGAAATGGAGTCATTAGAAAAGGTGCTCGGCCACAAGAGAAGCGGGGAAAGAAATTAAAACAGCCACGCGCTGGGTCTCTCCATTGAGAGCGCGGCTTTATTCTTCGCTTGTTTGTTTGCTCTTCTTGCGCTGCGTTGGCCAAGCGCTTCCCCGAGAGAGCCGGGCTTTGTGAAATTTGTAATGGATTAAGTGCCTCTGAAGGACGTAGGGGTTTTGTCGCAATCGGTACCTTTTTATTAAAGCGGGAAGGGGGAAGAGAAATCTTCCCCCAAGCAAGGCATCTACCTGTTTTCTTCCTCTGTGGGTCCTGCCAGGCCGGAGGGGGCCAGGTGGGTGGGCAGGGGGGGAATCAACCCGGTCGCCTGGCGGCACGCTTTGTTTTTACAGTGGTTAAGAGGATTTGATTGTTCCTCTTTTGTCTTCGTTTTAGTGTGGAGGGATCAGACTTAGGGCTTGGTTTTTTAAAAAAAAAAAAAAAAAGAAAAGAAAAGAAAGAAAGGAAAACCACAACACCCAACCAAAGATGAGGCTGAAGAGAACTGTCTAGTTCCCTATTTCAGTTGTCTCAAATAAAGAGGGGATTTCTTTCCTCTTGCGTATGCAGGCAAGTTAAGGATCCCTCTGTCCCCAGGCTTAATACTGCGGCGCTTTGCCGTGTAGCGAGTGCGTTGCTGGAACAGCTTGGCGAGGGAAGTGAAACCGGCCGAACCTGCTCTGAAATGTAAGATGGAAACAGGCAACTGCAAAGAAAACACTTTCCAACCCCTGTAAACGCCCGGGCAGCGCTCCTGCTGCACGCAGCCGGAGGGGGATGCGGGGGCTCCCTGTCGCCTCCAGCACCTTCGCTGCTGGGCACGGGGAAGGGTTCGGGCCTGAAATGGGTCGGGCAGCTCGCCCTGGCCACGGGACGTCCCCGAGGGACAGCTCTTCCCTCTGCCGGGAGCAGAGGCGCTCTCCCTTTCTGGGCTTGGAGCGCCGACGCGGCCGCGGGGAGGTGGTTCGGGGGCCGCGGCGCGATGGTTGCGTGGGAGTCACTGGCCCTGGGGATGTGGGAGCAGCCCCCCATGCTGCCCACCCTGTGCTGGGTCTGGGCACTGGGCATCCAGGCAAACCTGCTCCCGGTAACTGGGAGGTGCTGCTTTCCCATAAGGCACTCGGCTGCAAGCTGGCTTATTTCCTACCCTGAGCTGCCCCAGGCATCATGGAGAGCAACAGCAGAGCCACCCTGCGCCCCTCCAGGGAGGGAGAGCGTTTGCTCCAGTGAGTCAGGCAAGCAAGAGTGGGACTGCCATCCCTCTTTGGGGATGCTCATGCGTCCTTTGCTCGCCCCGCTTCCCGAGCGTGTAAGCATGACAAGTTCTGACATCACAGCTGGGAAAATAACATGTTATTTTCCCAGCTTGGATGTTACTTTCCCTGCTATTACTGGCAGCTACCATCTTGGGAGGAGAAAGTAGCAGAGGCTTGTCAGGCAAGGAAACAGAAATGGTTTTCTGGGCTGGTGGAGCCTGTCTGACCCCCGTGGGGTGGAGGAAGGGAGGGATGCTGTGGGAAACCGCCTGGTTTTGTATGTCCCATTGCTATCCTCTGCTTGAAGTGAGAACTTTGGGGCTGCATGTTGCAGGTCACATCTAACAGGTAAGAGTCCAGGAAACTGCCAAAGGCTGAGCTTCACCTTTCTCCTTGTACTGCTGTACATTGTGGTCCTCCTTCCTGCTGCATGGCCCGTTGCCAGTGCTGTAGCAGTTTCTGCTGTTGTATGGTGCCTCAGGGCCAGGACCTCCCTTCGGCAGGGCCTGTTCCTTAGGCATCTCTTCTGCTGCAGTTTTCTCTAGCAGTCTCCCTGCTTATCTGCTGGCTGCCCACTTTCTTCAGGCCAGTGGTTGTCACATCCAAGCTAGATGGCATGAGCTTCCCCCAAAGGCTACAAAGGACCCTCCACCCTCCATGGCTGGGTGAGGGGACCACACTGCAGTCTAGTGCAAGGGCTGATTTCTCCTGGACTGATCCATTAGCAGGAAATCCTTGCAGAAAGTGTGGCTACACTTGGAAATCCTAGGTGACCAGCTTCCCAAATCCATGTGGCAGGCATCAATAATCAGCAGCAGCATGCTGTTGACCATGCAACCCTTCAGCTAGGGGTACACACAGTATCCAAAACACAACAGACCACACCAGCCTCATCCCACATCCTAGACTGGTGGGGGGAGGAAGGGAGGGGAGGGTTGAAACCTCTTCAGGAGCCATATTAGCTCTCTAGGAACACCTGAAAAGCAAGATGGGAATCGACCTGTTGCCGTCCCATATGCTAGGGGAATGACAGTGTGTTGACCCATGTGAAATCAGGCATGGCAGTCTTGCAAGTGGCATGTGTTTGTGTCTGACACCGTGAGCATTATCTTCGCTGTGGGCAAGTCCTCCTGGCATTGGCATGGCTTGGCATCAACAGGGATCTGGGTGCTGGAGCTTGAAAGAATTTGGTGCAATGGGGAGCTGATATTTTTTGGGGGAAAAAAATAATCTTATGGAAGTGACACAACAGGAGTTTCTTGTGCCAAATGCTTGAGAAATGTCTGACAAAGCCTGCTCTGGAAGGCCTTGTTAAAAGCACTGGGCTACCTGCCCCGGCTCCCCAGGATTGTTAAATCATCAACAGAAAAAAGTCATTTAAATCTGAGGCCTCTAATCTCCTCAAACAATTGTGCTTCAGCACTTTGAAGTGTGGACCCAAGGGTGCACCACAGTTACCTATTCCTTGCAGTATCTGTGTCGTCTGGGTTATGCAAGGAGATCGGGGCAGGATTGTTTTTGGCTGAGGGTAGAGAAAAATGCGTAAAACAGCAGCTCTGAATCCTAATCCAGGCCTGGGGAAGGACAAACCAGCTCGGAGCAAGCTGGGCTTTTGCAATGCGTTTGATTGCCGTTGGAGCAGGTTGTGAATTCAGTAGTCTTGCAGATCCTGGCAGGAGTGACACGGGTCTTCTTCCAGCTGCTGCTTCTGGTGGCTAGCTGGGGTAAAGCCGTGGTGTGCTGGATGTCCAGCTCAGGTGTCCGGGCAGGACAAGCAAGGGCCAGAGCAAAGTCCCCTTCCCATCCTGCTCAGCAGCACCGCACCGCTGCTGGGAAGTAGCCTTTAGCAGCTCTTAATCTCTTAGTGCCCTTTCGCCTTGGTGTAACTATCGGAGGCTGCTGTGTTAGGATGCTTTGAGTCAAACACTGCATCTTTAATTACTTGGAATTCTCTGGTGTCGATCAGCCCTTCCTGTTCCTATGATTTTGCGGTTTCTCATTTCCCTCCTTGCAGTTTGCCAGCGTCCTCCAGTCCCTGGTGTATGTAACAACAGTGTTTCAGGCCTGGCTGTGGTGGAGCAGGAACCATCCTTGCTCAGATGTTAACAGGGATAAGCTCTGGGGAGGAAAAAGCACTAGGCAAGCAAGGTTATTCATCTGATTCCCAAACTACATGGTAAATCCCCCAGCAGAAGTATTTTGGGCATAACATTTTGGGCTTTCAAGGTGGCTGTCTTACTTGCTTCAAGCAACATCCGCCCAGGTTGGCAATGACATATGGGCTCCAAGGACAGCCGATGTCTCCTGGGTCTCCCCGTCTCCTGGGCAGGGCTGTGGCTGAGGAGAGCCCAGAAGGACCACAGGAAAGGGAACTGCAGCCGCTCTCAGTCACAGCTGAGCTTCGAAGCTCAGTGCCCTGCCAACAGGATGATGTCTGCCTACCCTTTACAGCATCTTCACCCCATAGCTTGAGCTCAGACCCTGCTGCTCTGCCCAGGGGCTCCCATCCCTGGGAGGGAAGTTGCTCCCTCTTTTTGCTGTCTCCAGCTCTTCCTCCTGCAGGGATGCTGGGTGGTTGCAGGGCTGCGGCATGGCCCCACGTGGCTGTGGGCCAGCGGAGCTCGGGGTGACGGGCGGCCGGCCACGGGCTGTGCTGCAGGGCTGATCTGCAGGCCTCGCAGGCTACGGGGAAAGGCTTGTCTGGGGTCACTGCAATCGATATCTCATCTGCAGGATCGCCTAGTGGAAGTGATAGTATATTGGAACATGGTAATGGGTCTTGTCTAGTGGAAAAGGCTAATCTTCCCCAGCTGTACAGGATCTCCGCAGGTGTCCTCCGGCTCTCCCTGCACTGCCACCAGCCCTGCAGCAAGCCAAGGAGCAGACATGTTTCTTTAAAGCTGCAGCAGTCCTATTTACTGCCGGTCTCT